CCACTCCTGCCCCCTCCCCTCCGCCTTTTGGTCTATCTCCCCTACAAACCCACATTCCACAAATTCTGGCCTCACCTGGCCTGTCCTGGCCACTCCCTCCAGCCCTGCCCTTCCACACCCAACACCGCCCCAACATCAGTTCCTGTCTATTAGCTCCTGCCTTGACAACCCTCCCTCCAGTCCCTTCTGGGCCTTCAGTCCATCAGTGCCACCCATAAATTCATCTCCCACTGTCTCACTGAATCCCTCCCCCTGCAGCCATGCTCTCCAACCACAATCCTCCATTCACATCCTTTCCTTCCCTCCTCACCCGCCCATGCTCCCAAGTCATCCCCAGCATACAGTGATTAGGGGTGCTAGACTTCTCCCTTCCTTGTTAGTTTTGCTCCCATATTCCTTTCCATCTCCTTTTGCTTTAGCTCTAAGACTTCCTGGAAATGGTCAAACTCATGGCTCTGGCATAAGCATCCTGGGACCAGCATGAACACACCTGCTGCTGATCAGACCATACTGTCCTGCACTAGAGGCAGAGACACCCAGTACAACACAGATTTCAGCATTTGCTATACATCTGCTGAGGATTACTGAGTTACACTTTGATCCGCCAGGAAGGTGGCAGGCAGGATTTGATGCAAGTTCAGCAGCTGGGACCCTGTAAAGGTTTGAACCATGATATATAGACAAAGGGGCAGCATTTCTTTGAACTGTGCAGCTCCCATCCAGCTTGGGAATGCTTGGCCACACAACTTTACTGTGGCAACCACGTACCCTGGAGCTGGATCTCCTAGTGCTGTGAGATACACAAGAGGAAAGAAACCTCGGTGAGGGGTGTTGTCATAATGTGTTTCTATCTATGTAAATCTCCCCATACTTAACATCGTGTTGAGCCCCACTGTTATAGAAGTGCTGATGCTTTTGGCAAAGCACTTCCTACTTTGAGAAAGGCAGGGGCAGAGCAAGCACATTCAGTGCTCTGGGCAGCAGGTTGTCAGTAGGGACAGATATACCAACCGCTAAGGGTGGGGAGTGAGAGGGAAGGGAAAAGGAAGGGAAGCTGTACCTGCCTGGGCTCTCTGAAGACTGAAGGTAGCACCTGCTGCTACCTCCACTGCTGCTGTAGCAATATTTGCTCTGGCAGCAGCAGCCCTATGGTGCAGGCTTCCTGGGAGCTGCCCGGTTCCCCATTTGCTCCTTCCACTCCAGATATGCTTTTGAGTGCAGGGATGCACCTGCTAGGGCAAGGACTCCTGGGCTAGGGAGAGAAGCACCATGCCATTCATCTCTCTTGCCCCCTGCCCACAAATGCATTGTTTCTATGGCTAGGCAGCACAGGGCCTTCCCTGCTGTAACAAAGATTTCCAAGGAGATTCTGGTGCCTCCTTATAAAACTGACACCCAGGGCTAGTGCCCCACTCACCTCCCCCACCTACTTATGCTACTGCACAAAAAAAGGGGAGTTGGAAATCTTTAGGAATCCAAAGTAGCCTTCAGTTGTCACAACAGTTGGGGGGGGGGGGGGGG